CACACTCACACACTCACACACACACACACACACACACACACACACACACACACACTCACACCCATTCACGTACACCTCACTACAGTGTAGATCACTTTTCTGTTTTGCATATCACTAACTTAACTTTTCACTCCTTCAAAGCAATTATGAGACTCTCAACTCTCTTTAATCTTTAAAGTTCACCAAACCAACTCGTAAACACAAACATACTGTGTTTTCACTAGGATTTTTTCTAGTTGCCTAAATAATGTTCCCAAGTTAATTTCTAACCTCAGTTCTAGTGGACTGAAAGTGCTTGTACTTAGCGGAGTGAGACCTTTGCTATGAGGGTTCCTGAAGTCATTCTACACTGAGATTCTAAGAATCCCATTAGAGAAATTGTCAAAAGAATCATCCATTTGAAGTCCTAACTTCTGAGAAAGATTCTGCATATACATGTGATTTGATTTTTAAAAAAGCGGATCATCCCAATGCAAAGCGTTCAGGAGGTGTGATGCAAGAGCAGACCACGGACAATGATGCCTTTGGCTCACCTCACCTGGGGGTGAAGAATTTTATTTCCAGTAAAAAGCTTTATATGCCGAGAATATATTGCATAATTGGCCACAGAGTTAATGGTAGAGTGTGACATTGCATTAAATTCCATAATTATCTAAAATTCAAATTTTCAAGTTTTAAGAACCCTGTGGGATTCATGGTGGGTGAGACTGGACAGCTCCTCCAGACTGGTGTTGACGGCTGGAAGCTGTGATGACTCACACAGGTCTGGTGACTTCTCTTTCTGCTGCATGAGCTTTCTCTAGTGACAGATGTTAGGGATTAAACAAAATGAGCAACTGCTTTATTTTCAAATGATTAGATGTTTGTAATGACCGGTCTTGCCAATTTATTATTTCATGGGAAAAAATCCACATGTAAAGTATCCAAAAGAAGTTGATCGAATTCCTTGATTGTTTTTAGGAGACAATTACAAATTCAGCTCAAGTAATACTCTGAGAGAAAATCTCCTGGGAAGTACCAGCAACCAGCCCTTCATCTCCCAGCCAAACCCCACAGGCTGTAGAGAAAATTACTAAAACTATTCTACAAGTTCATCTGATTTTGAGTGCATGGAAAATATAGTGAAGTTATCATGCCAACATAAAGAATATATACTATATTCAAAAGGCTAGTTATCAAAATAAGACGATCATGGTTAGATGCGACCTATGTTTTTATAAGATGCAGTACATATTCTGTGGTCATTTCTGTTACATATTACACTCGATCCTCATCAAATTAAGCTATGTATACATGGAATTTGAAATAAATATTTGATATTGGAATAGGGTCATATTCTGCTACTGTACAACCGTGGCATGCAAGTAAGGAGGCATTAATTGTAAAGTGTCATCCCCTTCCAGAACTCCAGAGAACATGAAAAGTGTGTATGCAGTACTTAACATTGATTAGATGTAATGACTCTAACATTAAATAAGACTACAGAGTGCACAGCAGCTTTGGGTATCTTGTTCATTGTTCTCTTCTCTCCTGTGCTCACCCTGAAGTCAACCACGGCCACTCCAGACTGAACTTCAGTGAACTACAGTCGATATTAGCACACAAATGACAATTCCATGTGGGAGCTGCCCTTTTGTTTTTCCTTTCTGCTGTTTTTCAGGACTTTTTGTCATGAGGGATGTTTTGGATGTGGCCAGCAATGAATTTGTTTTTGGACTGTGGACATCTCACCGCACGGCGACTGTGGTGTGGTTGCACTGGGGATGGAGAATTTGCTGATGCTCACCGGACCCGCTCTTGTCTGCTTGCATTCTACAGGAAGAAGTTGGTAGCAGGGGACTTGGAAAGTCTTACTTTTAAGATCCATTTTGTAATGCTTGTTAAGAGGTAAATAAAATCCAGAGAATAGAATAAGACTGGAAGAAAATGACACCTTCTAGTGGAGACCAGAGGAACACCTTGGCCTGGTACCCCCACCGAGATTCCCAGGCAACCAAAGCACCACCATCAGGACCAGAGACTCTGCTATCCAATGACCGCACTGGCTGTCTTCTGGTTGTTGAACTGGAGGCTGCTTGTGGGAGGAAGCGACACTGATTGCCAGTCAGTCTTTTCCATTCTCTGTTTCAGGAATGTCCCCACGCTCCGAACTCTAACAAAGATATTGCCACATCCAGACCAACTCTCTGGTCCGGGTTGCCATTAGTTGGAAATTGTTACATTCTCAAATTGACTCTGGATACTATGTGGTCACATGGAGTATTTAAACACAGTGACCTACAGCTTATTAAATAAAAGCCTTTCTTTCATATTTATAATGAGACAAAACAGCAATTACAGCTGCCATGATTTGTTCATTTCCTATTTATACTCAAATAATCTAAGTTTGCTAAGAGGCAAAAACTGTACATTTCTCACCATTCAAGCAGTATAAAACGTCTTTCTTTAAAGTCTTGGGATATAAACAGTTGGTTTATATGAATTACATATTTCCATCTGCATTAAGAAACAATATACATCTTTTTCCATAGTAAGTTATGTTAGCTCTAAGCCTAAGGGAGCCATAAAAACTGACTTTATCACTTGTGATCATCAATACTGCTACTTTAAAAAACTCATTGGCATTCTTTGGCCACTTGGGACATTGCCCACTTACAGGGAACTGTGCTCGGGGCTGGGATCATAGGACATTAACCTCTGTAAAACCCAAGGCCGCAGAACAGCTTTAACGGAAGCCATTTGTGAAGTAAACCAGCACATAGCACGGAAGTGATTTCCATTCAGACACAAGTTCCTTGACGTGTGGAGAGGTGTTTCCGGTTGCGGACTCCGGAAGTCTTGTCTTTATTATCAGAAGGCTTCTGCTGTGAGGTGTCTATCAGAGCACTGGCAATAGCAAGGCCTGGAAAGAAAGGAGAAAGGCATTTAGACATCAAAAAGACATCAGCGATGGACAGAGGTGGCTTTGGACAATGCTAACACATTCGGCCAGGAAGTGCTCAGGTGCTAACTGGTGAACTAGCAGCGAACAACACACAGGAGAGGAACAAGCAGCTGCCGGCTGTAATATTGGGCAACCGAGTCAGAGCTCGAGGAAGCATGGGAGTCAGCTGTGGACACAACTTCTCACCTCATTTCTGTGTTGAACAGTTTGTTCTGGGTGGACTGGGAATCTCCAAGGTTACTATTTTGTTTTTGCTTCTACAAATAAAACTCATTTAGAGGTGCCTCTTAAAAGAAGCTTGGAGCACTGTTAAGTTTCTGGAAAAAAATGGAACACTGATACAAGATTGCCACTTGAGGTCGGTGGCTTCCATGAGCAGGCCCGAGGCTTTCCACCAGTTCATCTTATGGAGCTGTCATATTGCTACCCAGATAGTTTTGTTGCCCTGAAAATCCTCTGTATGACACTAACTTATCCCTCCCCTTCCCTGGCAAGCATGGTCCTTTTGTTTCGGTAGAGTTCTATAATTCCTGAGTAAAACAGAAAATAGTCTAAAATTCCCACCCTTCACCACAGGGCCAGAAATGCTTGGCCTTGCTTCAGACCTGCCAGAAGAATGCCAAGGTCTTAGAGAATTGACTTTGAAGTGAGTTGAGCCAGTCCTTAAATCCTCCTGGAGTCTTCACGTGCTGCTTCTCAAGGAAGATCTTTATTTTGGGGATTATCCCACACTTCATTCTCATGGTCAATTTATTCTACATAAGCTTCAAATGTGATCGAGCAGGAACAGAACACAGGACTTTCTGAACCAAAAGAAACGATGCTAAAGGACCCGTGGGACAAAGGACAGCCTGTGGAAGAAGGTCACCCGACTTTACAAGGTCTTAGCCAGAGGCCACTGGGTTTCCTCAAAATAGATTTGGTCATCTCTGACCCACCTGAGTGGAAGCTGAGCAGGGAAGTATGGCCTGCGGAGTGGGCCAGTTTAAGTTCCCAGCTTGAGACGCGGCATGGAGAGAGGTGGTCAGCTTGTCTGCACAGGGAGGCAGAGTGGGAGAAGGAATGCAGTGAGCTCATGACTAGACACTCAAGGACATCTGGAGACCGTAGGCAATGGTGGAGGAGCAGCTTTGGCTAGACAGACGGAACACCACACCACTTATCCTCTAGGGGCTGCTGCCAAGGGACTCTTCAGAATGCTAATATCACCCTGACGTTTTTATAGATAATTCAGGCTCAAACTTGAAAGAAGCTTCTTCTTCCTCTTTGGCAAGCCCACGTGAAGCTCTGAAGTGCCACAGACTGGGTGGTAGCATTGACTCATGGTAAATACTACATTTAATTGCTCAAACTTGAAAGAAGCTTCTTCTTCCTCTTTGGCAAGCCCACGTGAACCTCTGAAGTGCCACAGACTGGGTGGTAGCGTTGACTCATGGTAAATACTATATTTAATTAAAAAAAAAAATCACAGCCTCTGGTCATGCTAACTGCAAGTTCAGATGGAGCAGATTTCAGGTTTCCTCAGGTCTCCTGGAGAACTTCTCTCATAGTTTACTACTTCCCCCTCATTTGCTCCTGGCACCAACTGAACCGGAGGCAGCAGACGTAAGGGTTAATATATGACTCCTCTACTGTGGACGCAGATGACCTACACTCACTGTGACTACTACGGCCAAATGTGAACTCATGCCAGAGCTCTGAAATGGACCTTTTCATTTACATGTAGCTCCAAATGTTGCTCCCTTTACAGTGGATGTAACACCAGGAGTAAAGTAAAGAGCCTCATTCTCTGATAATTCAGCATTATCATGGTGTCTTTGTATTGGTGAGTATATGAAGTTCAAAGTCTAATTAAATTACCATCTCTCACAACACTCTTGGTTTACCCCTGGATTCTGAAGCTTGGGAACACATTGAACTGAAAACTCATAAACCTAAACCGTATTTCAGTTAAGATACAAATAAAATAGAAAATCATTCTTACTTTTAATTTGGCAGCTTTTTGTACTGTCCTATAAAAACCAACCACTAACTCTGTTTAGGTTCTGTAGGAACAGCTCTAAGCATGCTGGGAACCTTGGGATTCTCTGGAGAGTGGTATCCAAGTGTCGTCTACCCTGTGCAGTTACAGAGGACACTCAGGGTCACTTTTACCTTGTGCGTGGGTTAAATGAGCTTTTCATTCAGGGCTAAGATTGACTCCCTTACCAGATCTCATGGTTTCTGGCCCCTCAGGAGTTCATAATCTCATAATTATGCGCAGCATAAAGATTACAATAATTATTCATGTTTGTGTAACTTGAATGTCAAATGTAGGGGTTTGATTTCTGATTTTGTGCTACTTCTTGTTTGATATAGGGCAAACTTTATAATCACCAGGATAACCAGAAATTGACAAGTCTTCATCCTACCTGCCTGCAAGGGCGAGGGACTGAAACAGGCCCTATTCCCTCCCCCCACATTGTGTTTGGACACATGGATGTGGGGAGGCCTAGTCTCTAGCTTCAGGCATTGGCATACTTTGTTACCCTGCTTCTATTTTCATTAAATGACAAAAAGAGAAGTCAATAGAGTAGCTCTTTAAGGAGGAATGCTAGCTCCCTCCAATCCCTTACTAAGTTACATGTGAGGGACTGACTGGACATACAGACAGATAATATCCAGACCCTAAATAAGAGTTCAGGCCTGCCACCTGCTACATCTCAGAAAACCAGCCTATGAGCTGCAAGGAGCAGTGCAGGAGGCCAGCAAGCAAGAAGTCACACTGGTAGGAATGCAGACTGCTCATGAAGTTCAGTAACAACCATCTTCCCAAACAGTTGGGGCTCAATGAATAACCAGGCAGCCTACCTAATCCATGTCTTCAGTTTCAATGTAGGACAACTGGAAAAGGAGATGTTCACCCTAACCAACTCTGCAGGACACCTACTTGTAGTTAACCTCTCTACAGCTCCTGTAACCCAACACTCTCCAATTTAGACACAACAGCTCTTGAAATACATAGCTTTCACTTGTTTTCATGTAGATTGTGGTCTCATTTCCACATTGTCAATGAAGAGATATAGATATGAGTAACTTCAGGTCTTTTCTGTGTTTTAAAACAAGGTACACACCAACAAAGTAACCCAGAAATGCCCTGCTGCACCCAGTCTGGAGTGCTCAGAGCTTCTCTCTGCCAGGGGCTTTCCTGGGAAAACCCTCTGCTCTATACTATGGAGGAATCATGCCATCAGACCGCGCTCATTGGCGTGTGCTGATTCTACTACCATGGAGGAAGCACGCCATCGGACCCTGCACAGTGGCGTGTGCTGGTTGCCACTAGAGTTCCATTAAAATCAGGTCACTCCAGAGGATCACTTTTCAAAACAACACACAAATCATGTGATGAAATCCGCTTATTGTGTTCTTTAGGCCGCCAATATTCCTTATTATCAAGGCAATACAATTAACTGTGGGAACAATTCATTATCTCAGACTGGCCGTCTAAAGGAATTTCATTTACCATATCATGGTGACGTACCAGCACTGGGCGCTAGTACAATGTACATCAATATATACCCAGAGATCCCATAAAAATGCCAGGGTTTAAATATTTACTGTAAGCCTTAGCTCTTTGTGGTTTTGATTCTTAAATACCAGACACCGTGACACATTATTTAAATACCAAGTCTAAACCTCATGAGTAAGAAAGTCCACCTCTCATGAGACTGCCTCCCATGACTTCCTGGCATTTCAAACCTGTTGCCCTGGGTCACCCGGGTGGGGACAAGATGTGAAGGAGGTAAGCACTGTCATCAGGATTTCCTTCAGCAAACGGGCGTGGTCCGGCAGTCACGGAGCTGGGTGCCAAAAATCACTACAGCCATCTTGTAAGTGGGGGAGAACAATGCACCAAGATTAGACTCAGTTGGAACCTGAACTATATTTGCTTCCTAAAATTTGAGACCTTCACCTCTCTGTAAGCCCGTACAAACATGTCCGGAACAGATCAGAACATAAGTAGCTGGTAATCAAACACTTAACTGGCAAATACATCCTCAGACACTAGGGACACACCAGGAGTTTAGTGATTGTTTGTAAAACCCTGGTTTTTCCCCATGGAAGTGAAGTGGAAACAGGAGACTCTGGCAGTAACAGTGTAATCATAAAATCACTGATGTGTGTTTCTTTACAATTACTCGAAAAAACAATTAATAAGTACAGTAATAAATATTGCACATCAAATTAAACTGCTTTGGAAAGAACATTCCAGCATCGTACATAGATATCGAGCTTGCATTTTACATTTGAATAGAAACCTTGGGAAAAAAGTCATTCATTCTGAAATGCTTTCCTCCAAAGTCTGCGTAAAATCAAGCACCACTATATATTTTAATTTTCCAGGAAAACAGCTTCATTAGGCGTGAAAGGTTAATTGCAGGTTTAAGTGGAGTTCAGAGAATGGTGCGAGGTCTGCAATGAATTGCGCAGTCGGCTTCAGGAAGACAGAATGAGCACTATAAACCGCATGCCCTGCTGAAATGGTTTACTACCTCATTTACTATCTGTCTTCTTTTACGGCTTGTATTTGTAGTTCTTCTAAACCTTTAATGGCTACAGTTTTATTTCACTGTAATCAGATTTAAATGGAAATACCATGCTGGGATGTTTAAATGCTTTCCTTCTGATTGTATATAGCTACATACTTGTGATCAGAGCCTTGGTAATCCTTCACATGATTAAGAAAGTGACTTTGGGAAACTTTGATGTCACACAGGCTCGTACCATTGTGCAGCCTCCACTGAACATTCAGTGCTTGCCAATATTCAGCCAAGACTGGGTGCATAATTAGGAAATATGCATTTCCATTTTAATTTATCTGTTGGAAGGCTAGCACAAGTGAAGTCATTATTAGGCAAAACTCCAAAGGTTACATGGCTGAATAAAAACCCGAAATACTTCAAGTGCTCCAGACTCTG